ACTTTCGTCTTTGGTTCGCTCATCAGGACCACTCTGCTACCATACCAATCACAGCCATCCTCACCATCCAGGTCCCACCACATCCTTGACGACCATTTCGAGTCTGTCTCGTCCACCACCTCAGCAGCTTTCGTGGGCACGATCACCACCTTCTGCGTCCCTCCCAGCAGCCCATCCATGTCGCTCACTGCAAACTTAACCCTCCGAGACTTCTCTTCAGAAATCATGCCTGTTGCGAAGTTGACTATTGTGACGTTGGTGAGCTCGATGCCCAAGCGATGGAACAAGAAGCGCAGGGCTAACGAGCGACTGGCTCGAAAAGGCGTGATGTGCAGCAAGGGGGTAACAGGAGACCCATCGGAAGCCTTGTCAACCTGAAATGTCATCTGGGTCCTAATGCCACGCTTCCGCAATTTGCTGAGGATCTGATCCTTAGCTTTGACACCGTCCATGCCAGGCACAGTGCTGCTTTCAGCACCGGTAATAACATGGAAGGGGCCGGTCTCCTTCAGGGCCCACTTGGTGCTCTTCTCCTGCTTGGGCGGTTTGTCAAACCTGTTCAGCACGTGCTTCTTGTCCCAGCCATCGTCTATGTGCACTTCATACGGTTCGTACGAGCTCATGTCCTCCTGGCCCCACCACACAAACAGATCCGATCCACTGTTGAGAATCATGAAATCAATATCTTGCAGGTTGATTTTGGCATCCTCTAGCATGCTGCACGTCTGATCGTAGCTCATCATGCTTGCCAATCCGAACCCAACAGGCCCCGCTTGGGGATTCCGTTTCTTGATTCCGATCTTGATGGCCGAAGCCAACAGCTCCAGTGCCTGCACCGAGTCCTTCTGGGTGTCCAGAGTGAAGACGCACACCCGCTTGCGCACAGCGACGCGAGGTGGGCCCACGTCCTTCTCCTCCTCTGCCCTGCGAGCTTTGGGATCCCAGCCAAACACAGTGTCGTCTATGGCCACCTTCGGGGATATCAAGGCAGCATCACAACCATCCCCATTGACCGCCACACTCTCTCTATGCTCTTGGACGTTGCCCAAAGCCTTTCGAAACTTGGTGTTATCCCAGCTGCCTGTGTGCGTTGTGATTCTCTTTAAAGTCTTCAATAACCTCTTTTCTTTTTCGATCAGCTGCAGATACAAACTGCAGTGCGCTGGCCAGGTATATGCCATTATGTTGTTCACACCATTCTCGCTGTACTTGTTCCAAACATTTCTGTCACACAGAATCTTGAGCAGGGCGTTGGCGATCTCCTGCTCATCTGTTGGGTCCACCAAGATCCCATTGTCCAGCGTCGCGATGATGTCTTCAGGGCCACCATTCTTTGTGGCCACAATGGGCACCCCATGAGCTGCCGCCTCTATCAGGGTCAAGCCAAACGGCTCCTGCAGGGCCACATTCGTGAAGACACCCTTGGTGGCGGCGGGCAGGCGGTATATGTCCGATATCTCCGACTGGTGGTGCTTCTTGGGGTAAGCAACGCTCCCATACAAATCGTACAAGTCGATCAGCTTCAGCACCTGCTCCAATATGGTCTTGCTGCCTCCAGCCATAGCATCAATGCTCTCCCTGTTCCCCATGATCAAGACCAAGTTCGCCAGTTCCCTCAGCACTCTGCTATTCCCAAATGCCCTGATCAGCGTGGCGACGTTCTTCTTGGCGTCGGGACGACTCATCGCCAGGATCACCGGCTTTCTGGGGTTCTGCAGAAACCTGGCGACCTCCTGCCACATTCGCGGTTCGCCCATCTCCGCTGACAGCACTCGCTCCGCCCTAGGCGCCTCGCCCACCCCCGGGCTGTGCTCCGCGTCCTTTTGCGGCAGCTCCACTTTCAGGTTGTCAAAATCCAGCCCGGGGGGGATCACGCGCATCGTGGGGCAGCGGTACCCGGCCCTGCGCCTCGTGCGCATGGCCCGCTCCAACTTCCTGTCGTAGCCGTCGTACTGACCCCATTGCTGGGCCACCTCCTGCTTGGTGGAAGTCACGACCATCATGGCATTGTCAAGAGCCCTCTCCTCCGCCTCTATCCTCCGCGAGATCTTGTACGTCTGCTCGATCTCCGCGCTGCTCAGCTTACCCGAGCAGAGCAGGTGGTCCAGCTTGTTGCGGCCCAGCGAGTGACCTGTGAAGGCCATGTCCACGCCCATCGTCAGCGAAATGTACACGGCCACCTCGCCGGCGTCGGCGTAATGCCCGTGCACGTTGTACAGCTCGCAGGGCTCCCGCGCCTCCGACAGCGAGTTGAGCATCCCCTTGGCGTAGGACACGGCGTTGTCCGCGAACTCCCGGATGTGGGGCCACAGCAGCTCCTTGCGCACGTACTGCTGCACCGGCCCGCACGGCAGCCGCACAATGTACGCGCCGCCCAGGCTCCCAGCCGTCTTCAGGAGCGTCTCCTCCGGCTCGCCATATACCGCGTCCACCGACGGGTCCTTGATCTGGCGGGTCAGCAGGTCGACCCTGTGCACCGCCGGGTGCCTCACCAGCGCCCGGGCCAGCTCCACGACGTACTTCACCTGGCCGCCCGTGTCCGGATCCCGCCCCAACTCCATCTTCTTGCCGCTCACCAGGCCATGAAGGCTGACCATCAAAATGTACAGCCCGTCCACGCGCTGCTCCAGGCCGTCCGCGGCCCTGTCCGTGGGCTCCTCCGGGGGCGGCCTGGACCCCAGGTCCAGGGAGTCGCGCTGGGCCAGGACGCCCCCCAGTTTGGGCCCCTGGGCGCCCGCCCTGCCGGTCGCGACATCCTCCTCCTCGTCTTCGTCATCCTCGTCCTCGTCTTCGGACGACACTTCGTCGGAGTCCAGGTCTTCCTTCTCGGCCTTCAACCGCTGCCTCTCTGCCCGGACCCGCTGCTGATTGCGTTTCATCCACCACACGCGCCTGTGGAGAGTTGCAGGCTGGCGGTGAACATTCGCCAAAGGCAGGCGGCAACGCGGGGCGCGCCGACAGCTCCATTGCGCCGGCCGCCCTGCCCGAACTTCCCCGAAGCATCGCGGATGGCCGGCAGCGGGCATCAGGGCATGATGGGGGCCAATGGGGGGCGCAAGGGCATGAAATCGACAGGTACGCTGGGCTCACCATGTAAGGTGCTCCAGCCGCACGTCGCGGCCTTCCGGGTTCTTCGCGGAGGACGCCTTGCTCCATGCCTGCCACAGGCCCTGCTCGCTGAGCCGGAGGATCTGCTGCACGTAGTAGTTCGCGAAGATCGTCTTCTCCGCATTGACGTCATCGGAGCGCGCGTGCCCGGGCGACTGCAGGTGCTCCTGCGACAAGCCCTGGCTCAGGAGCGCCGCGAGATAGGACTCCACCCACCCGTTGGCCAAGCTGCCCAACTCCATTCATAAAATTCGCCTCCCGCCGCAGGCTGAAAACAAAAAGCAAAGGGGCCCACATGGGTGCGGCCAGCGAGCAGGCGGGGCGATGAGTCAATGAAGCATATACCACGCAACGGATGGATCCCAATGCGTTGAGCAGTGCGTGATCTGTGGTGTGCGGTGGGAGGGGCGCAACGTGGAGAGGTTTGTGATGCTTGCGGCAAAAAGCATCGTCGGCCTGCTGACATCTCTCCTTTGTTGGTTCAGGCTCCTCCGCTTGCCTTGCTCTGCACCTGTGCCCTGCGCAAAAATAGGACTGTCATAGGGCGGGCAAGGGGTTACATACCTTTTGGACATGGACTCTCGTGTTCCAGCGCACGACGCTGTGGGAACCAGACGGTGATCCAAGTGCCTGCCGTTCGCGTTGGCGCACGCGCAGTACACCTTAAACGAGCAAAAGGGACCCCAGGGGAAATTACACTCCCTTAGCAGCTTCGATGCTGTTGTTCGTTTCCGCTGGGCCACTCGAGGCCCATGCCCCAAGAAAAACCTGTTGCGCAACCCTAAAAGCCTCTCAACACAGGAGTGTCAAGCAGCCGCCAGATTCGGGGCCCATTCGTGTCAGTTGCGTGTCCGCATCCGCCGCTCTCAAATCCAAGCAAATGCGGCCATGTCTGACTGGCGGCACACTGCGGGTTGGCTTGGGGCCTTTTCTGACCTTCCCAGCGACACAGCCGCACCCCATCCAACTGGAGCGGAGCGGCCGCCCCGCTGACCGATTGACCCACGCAACCGAACGCACGGCGTCGAGGCACACGGAGGCAGACGTGCAGACCCCTGCAACTCCTTCCGAGCACCCCAGCGTCTACCTTGGGGCACGGACCGGAAGGGCAAGAGTGCGGGCCCTGCGGAGGAACCTGCTTTTCCGGTGGCCTGGGCAGACACGGTCCACTGGGCTACCTTGGTGTCTCCTTGTCTTGGGGCACCGATTCCTGAATCCTGCCTCTTTGCGTGCCCCCTGCTGGACCCTCGCAGCGATCCCCGACACGTGTCAGTGGGGTGCCCGAACCGGTGCCGAGGCGCCCCAACCTTGGATTCGAGCCCGCTTCTCGTGCCTGGGGCCCACGGCGCGCCTTGAGCGGCATGGGGAGGAGCTGAAGCCCTGTGGTGCGACGATATAGTGACAATAGAGCAGGTGAGGCTCGGGGTTGGCAGAGCTTGGGGAAGGAAGACTGGGCGGGAGGGGAGGTTGCTTGTGGCCTCCCAGGAGCATTTGCAGTGGCAGCCGTGGCCTGGTACACCGTTTAGTTGGTGTGGTGCCCGTTCTTACACACAGCCAGAGACAGTATTGTTGACATACCAGAGCTGAAGTTGAATTTGTGACCGTTAGCGATCGTGCTGTCTAGTTGCTACGAATACAGAGCGTACAGCTGGTATCATGTTTTCATGGTCAAGCTGTTGCCAACTGCAAGGCGATGGCAAGACCCATGGGGCGAATCTGCGGCTTGGTACTTGTGAAGTGCAAATGTCCCCCTTGCCCTTGTGAGAGAGGCAACAGCATCATTGTCAGTCAGCTTTCGACGCCCAGTGTGCGCGATGAGCGCTGCGCCGATGGTGAAACACCAAGGAGCTGATTGTTGATGTGTTTGCTATTAGACCAGAACTGCCATCGACATGGAGAGAAAGGGCTATTTCCAGACGAACCTTCGAGAGGTGTCTCAGTTCAGGCGCACCCTCAGCAACCAAGCCCCTCAATGCAGGACCAGCTGCAGTGAGCATGTTGTGAGATGTGTGAACTGCATGCAGTTTACCGCAGTGTGTGCTTGCGGAATGGTGCACGTGGTGACACCATGGATGCTTGGGGCGATCGAGGCCACCCTCATGCTCGTCCTGTATTTTGTGGTGGTGCCAGACTCGTTGTACAACATCGAGGGTGCTGCAGGTGCTCTGGGTAGCCATGCCAGCAAGAAATACCATTTCGGCTTTGCTCACTCCACAGAGGACGTGCTCATCCTTTCACTCGTCCGTGTGGTGCTGCTCAGCGTGTCATATGGCTTTGGGTCAGGAAAGTATTGCCACAGGCCATATTATGTTGTGGCACTGTTCACTTCCACCTTCATGGTCCCATATATGGTCGTGAAGGCTGCTGTTACAGTCATGAGCCCTGTGATGCCCATGCTGGCACTTGTGGCAACATCAGTTGCGTTTTCGATCGTCCATATCGTTGTTGCACATCTGACAGTAAAGAGGACCCAGCGCCGGGTCAACATGGGGCTGATCGGCTTTGGCTACCCTTGGGAGGAGGGCGAAGAGGCATGGGTCATGGCAGGCAGGCAGCAGTCGATAAGGGAAAGCACAATGCAGGAGGGTCTGCTTTCCAGCGATGACGATGTACCCAGGGAGATGCTGGCAGACGAGAGCAGCAAATTTGTGGACTGTGGGGGGCTCTCAGTTCATTACAAAGAAGAATACCCAAGGGGTCGCCCCTGTGTGGGCGATGGCACCTTTGCTGTGGTATTCATCCACGGTTTTGGTGGTGGCGTGTTTGCCTGGCGGAATTTGATGCGGCCTTTGGCTGAGCTCTGCGGATGCCGCGTTGTTGCATTTGATCGTCCTGCATTTGGACTAACAGCTCGACCACAGGTCAGCCCAGATCGGGTGAGCCCTTACACAACAGCGGCGCAGAAGAAGCTGACTGTGCAGCTGTGCCAGGCTTTGGGCATCAGACAGTTGATCCTGGTGGGGCACTCTGATGGGTGTGTACTTGCTCTCATGGTTGCCGCAGCTTTGGGCAGCAGGAGGCCTCAGACTGGGCTCTCAGCTGAACCCAAAGAGATGGTCAGCGTGAGCAGGTGTACCTCGGCATCCAGTGGTCGTGAGCAGTCAGTTGAAATAGGGCTGTCTGTCAGGAATTCTAGTGGTGTGCCTGAAGAGAGTTTGCCTGGCAGGCTCTCTTGTGGGGCTGTGTCATTGGAAGGATCGATACAGCACTCTGGGGCCACTACGACTACAACTTCAACTCTTGACAGCGCTGCCAGCAGCAGCAGCAGCAGCGTGCAGTCTCAGGGGCTCACAGTGGAGGCAATTGTGTTTCTACATCCGGACTTCTCATGTGATGAGGGCCTCAGCTTCACAAATTTACTGATGCAATCCAAGCTGGGACGCCGATTCCTGAGACCCTTGCTGCGGTCTGAGATTGGCGAGGTGGCAAACCGACGGGCGTGGTACGACACCTCAAAGCTGACCCGTGAGATTTTGGACCTATACAAGGCTCCTCTCAGAATTCAAGGGTGGGACTCTGCGCTGGTGGAGTTCACACGCGTGAGGAACCAAGTCACGCCCCAGCAGATCTCAGAGTGCCAAAGGAGGGTGGGTGGTGTACAGGTGATGGTGGTCACTGGGGACAAGGACCGCATTGTGACACCAGAGAAGGCAGCGAGCATCGCCAACGATTTTGGGACGCCAAATCTGTCTGTTATCCCAGACTGTGGCCACATATCCCATGAGGAATGCCATGAGATGCTGTTGGATCTGCTGACAGGATTTGTGGAACATTCGTATGGGGCCCTGGGCCTGGGTTCCCACGAGCCATGACGGATCGTAGGAATGTGGCATGAATACGAGTGGGGTGGGACTAGGAAAGGGTGTGGGGTCGAGAGGGGCGAAGCTGTCACATGCGTATCCATCTAGGTGTGCTGCCAGACACCTTGATGTAGAGACACCGACAGTGTGTGGACGCATGCACATATGCTGGATGCACTATGGCAATTTTTACAGAGGGTATTGAAAATGAGGGGAAAGGTTGCACTCTGCTGCCCATGTGCCTCTTGTGCTGTGTTCTTGGTGGACGTCCGCTGCATCCACCACATCGAGCAATGTGTGCAACAGCTGTACAAATTGGAAGGTTGCCAGCCCATCAGGTGGCCTATTGGCAGGGTGGTGCGAAAATCGGGGCGAAACAGGGCGTGCACGTGTTGGGTCAAGCAAGAGCGTGGGGACGCCCAGCCCTGGCCATGGGAGCCGATGGAGCCTAGCTTGAATCTAAACACACCACCAGACTTCGGGCATGTTGACAAAATGAAAGACTTCCCCTTGAATCTGTCGGCATGTTGCAAGTCTGGTTGCTCACAAAATGCCGATCAACCGCACATGGCAGTGCCACACGAAAGCGCTGGAGTTTTGCAATCGAATCCGCCTATTGTTCCTTTCGACCAACAGTCTACTGCCGAGGCAAACAAAGGAACCATTTGCGCTCACTGCTGGTTTCAATAGAAGAAGTCCTCCTTCAAAGAATTCAGGAGACTTCCAAGAAAGATTGGGGCATGCGCAACATGCTGCTTCAACATCATTGACAATCTGAAAGGTTTCCACGTGATCCGATTCGTTTCTGCCCCATTTCTCTTCATTCTCTTTTCAGACCACATGTTCCATCGAGCATGCCTCAGTTCTTGGCGATAGGCACACGTCCATTGCTTTGCCTTGAACGTTATGTATGTGGGATTTGCATGAGCCAATGAGTTTTGGTCACGTAGGTATGAGCTGTGCGCCAAGCATTCTTTGGGATACCGGCAGCTAAGTCTGTTTCGGCCAGCAGGCACGTTGACAGTTTTGGGCGTGTTGGTCCTTGAGGGCTGGAAAATGGGCCAAGAACTACGTGCACTTTGGGCATCCTTTCACAAGGGATTGCTTCGGTTGGTGGGCAGTCTACCTACCCAAGGAGCGCCTATCGACGGCCGGCCATCTTGTTTTGCTACGCGCCACTTTATTGGGACAGGCCTATTACCTCGAGTAGGCTCTAGCCTTCCGACTTCTGATCACGTATTCTGCTGATTGTGCAGCTCAGTAGGCTCTAATATCATCTAATAATCACTGCCGTTCTGTTCCTATGAGCTCATTTCGGCGCGCTCTCTTCGAGTCCCCAGCTGACCTCCTCTGCACTTGGGATACCCCCATGCTGCGTCCAGAACGCGTCACGTCTGCGGACAAGCCTGTCTGGCTCGACTTTTCCCTTCACACCGCATGGATGAAAAATTGCTAAACAATTTAGACAGGTGTTTTGTCAGCACCCAAGTACCTTGTGGCCCCCTAGCGTACCCTGCCTCTGCCACACTGTCAGCAGCTTAGCGAGCCTCCTTGCCCATGTGGGCACTCGCGGTGCTGCGTGGAACGGACATACCACCTTCACCCTCCTGTCCATACATGCAGACAGGAGGGCGAATAAAAAATCAGCACCTTACTTCAGGATCCTCAAGTAATGAGCTGGTTGTTAAGCAAACTTTGTGACTTCAGTCGGCCTTTTGACTGCTCCAAGTTCCACGCCACCCACACGGGGAAACCGTCAGATCAAGTCTACGTTGTGGACTTGCTCTGACGGGTCCCCGCGTGGGTGGCGCGTGCCTTGTGAACTCAACAGGGCATATTACCTCGACAAACGAGCCAGTTTGGTGCCACCAAGGGCGCTCCTCATCCGTACCTTGCCCGGCTTCATTGTTTGCAGTCTCAACAGACTCAACTTGGGACCCTCGCTCAAGTAGAAACGATCTTCTCTGCGCAGATCGAGCCCCCCCCCAAATGCCATGGCAGTGCCAGCGCCTGGCTTAACGGATGACGTGACCTGGCGATCTGCCATGGTAGGTGCTGAAATTTGAAGTGCTTATTTTCACCTTGGCAAATAAATGCCACAGCTCGGTTGCGGTACGTAGTGCTACATGTAGCAAGTTAGATTAGATGGCAAATTCTTTCATTGCCAAAGTCTTGCGTTCGGGCTAACCTGTACTACATCATGCATTTGACTTTGGTGCCACCCGCTTTCGACGGATCCCCACCATGTGTGCCTCACTTTGCCCCGTTTTGAATTCGGGCCACTAGCGGGAGAGACTACGCCAGAAAATTATTTGATGTAGTTCTAATTCCACGACCGCCCGACAATCTGGCCAACATGGCTAATCGCCCATGGCTGAAAAAGAATACCCGTTTTGTGCGAGACAACACGGATCTCGAAGAGCCCGTGTCTTTGGGCCATCTGCCTTGTGGCAATGCTTCGCTACGAATTGAAGCGGAGGAACTGTGCCCTTTGGGGCGGACATCTGGCCCAGAGGGGTGATGCAACCTTGGCCCAGGGGGTAAGTTCTGATGGTATCTTCTAGCCGCCAGACACGTACACTGGACGAGTGGACTAAAAACCATACCCCAAATGTTTCATTTCACAATGCCAATGACCGTCACAAACTACCTACCCTTAGCTATGCGATAGAAAGCAACTAAGAGCTGGAATTTTACATCTCACTGCGTGATAAAACCGATCTCCATCTTCAAGGGATGGCGAGCGGGAGCAATACAAGATTGGTGGCGGTTTTCGGGCGCCCTTTAAGTAGGGGCTGTGCCCAGCGACAAACGTACCCTGTCTAGGCGTCCCTGGGCGCCGTCCCATCAGAACTCAAGGGTTGGATCTCTTTGACACCCGTCCCAAGAATGCAGCAGATCCTTGGGCCCACGTTCATACACAGCCAGTGGACAAAAAGGTCTGGCCTGCCTTGTTGATTGGCTGCCAGAAATAAGCATGGCGGCCGGAACGATGGATGGCTTGCCCAGGGCGCCTGGCGCATCCAAAGCGCCCACTCACGTTACGCTAATCAGGAATGCATTAACTGATCGTTGATCCCATGTTCATTGAAGGATGTCCGCAACAATACATTCTATTCTCAAATCTCAGATTGGGGTCTTGCACCCATGATCTTGGTGGCGAGGAAGGTTGCCAATATCCCTGCACTGGCGAATAAATTCCATCCGATCCTAGCAAGGCACCGAGACAGCTATGCCACAGAACGAATAGATTCCAGATGTTTGCCCTGGGCGAGCGCACTCTTCATGCTGGACTCACCGTAGCCAGCTAGGTGGCTCCTTGTAAAGGTGCCGAATCCTTGGATATTCTTTTGCGACGCATCACCACTGCCGTCGACAGATTGCCTGCCGCTCCCAAACGACATCGGAATCCTTGAGAACACAGCAAGGCGCGCGCTGGCCACCAGCGTCGGAACTGCAACCAGCAGTCTTCTCCCGTGCGACAATTATGCACGAGGGCACGACAGAGGCCGACGGGGTGCCCCAAGCAACCAACAGAGGCAACATCAAGGCCGACGCATTTTTCCCCCCCAGGAGACAACACGCTGTACGACCAGGGCCCCCCGCCCAACCTGGAGGCGAGAACCATTCACGAAACATCGCCCCGAGAGCGCGAGTGTCGGAGCAAGGGATACGGACAGTCACGTGCCTCCCCGCTGCCAGCAACGGCCGGAACTCCTCGCCGGGCGCCCCAGCCCGACTCTCGCCATTGGCATGGATGACAGTCCGCCGCGGCGCCTGCTTGTGATCCACAATCGCGGATGAGTCAATGGCGGATAACACCTTTGGGCCGGCGCACAGGAACGCGGCGCCAGCCCGTCCCACTTCGGCACAGAAACGCTCAGCGGCTGGCGTCGTGTCGCGTCAGCCTTGTCCTGACATTTCGGTCCACACCAAAGGCCGGGCCAACATTCCAGGAAGGCTGTTGATCAGGCGTCCTGTTGCCCTGCACCGTCCCCCGCCCCAACCGGCGCCAACAGGCGCTTGTTAGAGCACACTCCCCATGGCCGCCGAGCCGTGGAGTTCGCCGGCGCCGCCGGCGGAGGCGGCGAGCAGCTGGGAGCGCACGGAGTGCGAATACAGCACTTCGTCACCCCCGCAGCAGCAGCCCCCGGGATCCCCTGAAGGCAGGGCGAAGGTGGCCAGCGCCCTCACCGCGGCCGTGCGGAGCATGCCCGCGGGCCAGATCTGCGAGGGCCAGCCGGCCAGCCCCAAGAGTCCGGGGGAGTGCCGGCGGAAATGCGGCCAATCGGGCGCGAAGGTGGGTCGGCCGAGGGTTGACCGTCCGCGGCATTGGCAGACTTGGGCAATGGCGTGCGCATCTCGCGGCGGGATGCCCACCTTCGAGGAGGCGGATCGCTGGCGGGGCGCCTTGGTCTGCCGTGTCGTTTCGAATTTCGGTGTGGGCGCTGTTGTCGGGCTGTGTGCGCTCTTTTCCCCGTCCCGCAACGCCCCATGCCACCCATTGTGTGGCGTGGGTCCGGCACGGTTGGAAATTTAGGGTTTTTGTCCGAGTCGCTGGGCCCCGAGAGGCCCGCCCCGTCCGCGTGTGGCGTAGGTTGAGCCGTCGAGGTGGTTTGGGAGCGGGCATCTTCGCCCGTGGGGGCGATGCTGTCATGACGTGCACGAACGAGGGGTGTCGCGGCGCCCCAACTGGACTGATCTCCACAGATTGGGTTACAGCACGGTGGCCGCGGCGTCGGGGCTGGCGCTCGCCCGGATGCCCTGGCGTTCGGCTCGTCAAGGAGCCACGTCTGCCTTCTGGCAAGGACAGTGCAGATTCCCGGGTCCCCCCGTGTTGCTCGTGGTTGGATTGCCTGTGCTTCGAGATATTGGAGTGCTTGCGCTGGATCTGCACCACATCCGCAAGCATAGTTGTAGCTGTGGGGTTTACAGCTTTTGCTTCGCGGTGCGCGAAATGGCAAGTGCTGGCGGTGACCATATGATCGCTGGGCGTACAAAGGCTGGATGCAGGCGTCGATGTTTGAGATTCCTGCGCGGTTTCCCATCCCGCCTTTCGCCAGATTGGGGTTTCGCTTGGCCCGCGGCAGGGCGGAGGCTCTCTGCGGTGCTGCCGTCTGGAAATCTATTACGTCAGTGCATCTTCGCACAAGCGTCCTGACCGAGCGCCGGGGCCAATGTTCGGAATCACGCCTTCCGCATCCAGTGCCGCCAAGGCTTGAGTGGTCGAAAGAGTAGCCAGAGTCGATCGGCGCCCGTTGTACAGTCGCGCAGTCGAAGTTTTACCGTCGCCTTCAACTTTGCCACATAGCTGAGGGTTTGGGCCCATGCTTGACTGTGTTTGTGCTCGCTCGTCTCCCAGATGGACACCAACGAGCCCTTAATACCCACTGGGGAGCCCCCTCCCGTTGTCGTGGCCAAGGGGAAGAACAAGACGTACCGAGGCGTGAGGCAGAGGCCGTGGGGAAAGTGGGCTGCCGAGATAAGGGACCCCTCGAAGGGCACGAGGAGGTAACGGAAAGGCGGGGAGCTGGCGGGGACCGCCCGTGACGCGCGAAAGCTGTGCGCGGTAGGCCGCGGCGCGTGGGGGGTCCGCACGGACCGCCGTCTGTATTTTTGCGCGCCTATCGGACGTGTGAGAGCGCGTGAGTCACTGCCTGCCGCTTCCCGCTGCCTTCCCGGCGGTGTCGGGACACCGACACAGCCCCGGGGGGGTGGGGGGTGGGGGTGGGGGGGGATGGTGGGGTCTGGGAGCTGAGTGCGGGCCTTGCGGGTTGATCGACAGGTGGCTCGGCACTTTCGACACCGCCGAGGAGGCGGCCAGGGCGTACGACAGGGCCGCGAGGGAGATCCGCGGCCCCGCGGCGAGATGTAATTTTCCGCCGCGGGCGGGCGAGACGCCCCCCGTGCCCCTGCAGGCGCCCGTGGTGCCGTCGGCCCGAAGCCCGCTGCTGTCAGGAAAGGAGGAGAAGACAACGAACGGTAAGGGGCGTTCGGGGTGGCTGCTGGCATGTGCTCCTTTTCGGTGCCTGTGGCTTGGGCGAGGCGACCTCCCTGCTCCGGGACGAGATTGCGGGGTTGTGAGGGCCTGTTGCCGGTTGGGTGAAGGTTGTTTTTTTTTGCTTTAGAGGAAACATGCTATCGAAAGGAAAAGCCTCTCCTGACCGTGACTCTTTGTAGACTCTTCAATGCAGTGGAATATGCAGAAACTTGGGATTGCAATGGAAATGGAGTGCTGCACTGGATGGCCTTTGAGACATGGCGATGTGACGTTCTATACGTGCATTGTTGCAGAGGGAATTGCGCAGGAGATAAAGGAGGTAGATAAAGTCGAGGAACCAGTGGTGCAGCCGAAGACAGAGCTGCAGAAGGCAGTTGCGGGAGTGCCGGGGGTGGGAGTGCTGGGAGCGCTTGCAGATGTGATGAAGATGGGTGGCATCAGGAAGACTGGCAGGAAGCCTGGAAGGGGAGGGCGAAGGAGGCGCATGGGAGGGAGGAAGAAGAAGTCGGGTACGGCTTGAGGAGGCTATTTTTGCCTGGATGTTGGGTGATGTTGAGATGCCCCAACATGGTACTGACAATCAAAGAGAAATTTAATGCAAGCCCGCATCGAGAGGTTGCAAACCTGTACAGAAGTAAAATATGGCAGGCATTTTGAACAGTGGGCTTCTGCCGGTGATGTTCAGGGCTGGCCAATTCCGTTTCCCCCGCTGAGGTTGAACTTTCGCATGCTATTTTGCACACAGATTTCGAATCTGAAGACTTGATCCCGGAAAGTTTGCTGCAAGGGGACACTGGCGCAGTGACCGGCGTCATGATCGTTTCAAGTGCTGCGGATGTCTTCCAAGAAGACACTCCTGAGTCAATGATGGTAAGGCAACAACATGGGTGTGCTACAGTGCATTCCTGCAGGAAAGTGGCACAGCTGCAGCTGCTCAAACAGCTGCAAAGGCCATTATGTTATGTCACTCCATCTTAGTTATTGACACCCTTCTTGAGTCCGGTTCTTCTTGCATTCTCTTCCTGCTCTATTTGCGATCTGAAGCAAGGCAATCGCATCTCCTGTCCACAAGTCTTTGTCTGGAAAATCCACTGTTATCAGTTTCTTGCTGACATCCAGATGTTGTGTGTAACCCCATCAGCTGCATCCACCACACCTGGGGCAAAAGGAAGATGCTCAAGTCTCAAAGTGGCCGTCTCGTGACGCCACCAAGGTGCTGCACATCGATGCAGCGCCCCAAGGCAAGTCGCTGGACAGCCTGGCGGACTTGTGTTTGTCGCTGATGAGCATGGACATCGAGGGGTGTCAGTCGCACAAAAGTGACTTCGAAGGTTGGTACTTCAACACGTCCCCAAACAACCTGTCCCGGACGCCCCCAAGGCCACTCTCCAGCCTCAGCAAATCCATCGGAAAGAGCCCATCTTCGTTCAAGATGGCTGGCACCACGCCCCCAACGGGAACACCTCCACCGCCGCAGCAGCAGCACCAGCAACAGCTACACAGTCAGCAGCAGCAACATCAGCATCGCAACAGAGAAGATGAAGATGGACGGGGTGTGGAGCTTATTTTTGGCGCTCCGGAAGATGTGTACGTTGTGGGGCTTCAGTCTGCCTTGCGGGATCGCTATGTGTCAGACAGAGAAACGGATAAAGAAGAGGACAGCTGCAGGCTGCAGATGGCGATGGAGACACTCGAGTTGGAGGCAAACGCCACTGGCATGGGCTCGTATTCGAGGGAACGTCCGATGCAGGGCTCGCCGCATGGCAGGGAATCTGAGTGTGGGCTGGAGGGCCTTGGGAGTGAGTTTTGGCAGACGGTCATGAGGGAGGTCGATTTCTTCAAGCCGTGGGCGATGAGCCCAGGGCTGTCTTCTGGCGTGTCGGCATGAGGCTGTGGGTCTGTCCGTTATTTATCGCTTTGAGAAGAACAGTCAGATCTGAGAAGTGTGTGCTCATTATTTCAAGGGAGTTCGATGATTTGTCTCGGGGATGGACTCGAGGATGCGAGTTGGTGAGGGGCCAGATGGATATTTTAGAAAGTGTACAGAGTTTGTAGAAGCTTTAGTTGCAGAGGGCAGAAAATTCCACTGATTGAATTGTTTGGTAGTCGCGTCTGGAGTGGGTATGCACAAATAATCTGTTGCGGACGGCGAAGGGAACCCTGGATGCAGTAGGCTGTCTGGAGCGAATTTTGTTATGATGACCTGGATGACGCGACTTGGAACGATACGAAAAGAGAATTTTGTTTCATTTCTGGGAACTTTGTGTTTTGCAACTGACATCAAAGATGAATCACCTCGATAGACTGTAACTGCTTGACCGCTTGGACATGTGCCGATGTTTGACATCTAATTGGATGCACCGTGTTCCATTAAGACCTAGGCTTGGAACAGTAGGTTCGTGAACGCAAGGCTGAAGGCATGCTGTAACAAATGCTTCACCAGCTGAAATGTGCCAAGTTTGCCGACAGTTTGTGAGCTGCAAGCTTTGGCAGGGTCAAAGCACAGAGGGGACGCCATTCTGTTGTGCTGGGGGATATTGAAATCGACAGTCTGTGAAGGGGGGTGTGGCGAAGAAATCAAGCATTTTCTGCAGCTCTGTGGAGAGCTCTGAACACTGTCACAACAGCTCCAATAGATGGAGAGAGACGGTGATATCACTTCAAGCTTCCCAAGCCACTGAGAACATTACTGGCGATACCCTGGCAGTCTTTCCCCAGTGCGTGGGGTACTCCACTTGCAAACATGCTTTTCTTACCCATTCTCGTGCGCAATTCGACGCAGCTATCATTGTCACAGCATCATGCGAGTTTATTGTATTGCACGTGTATCCACCAGCAAAGATGTTCGGAATCACTAGAAAATATCAATGCCCCACTTTCTACACGACCGGAGCTGGTGGCACACCTGAGCCACCCTTGTGTGGAGATAATCGGCAACGATTGTGCATTTCGATCATCACGAATGCACAAGTGACCTCCAATCATGCCATTCAGTTTCTCCACAAAATCAAACAACACCTGGTCAGGTCAGGATGGCATCGTGCAAGTAATTCTACAGCATAGCTCCTACAGCATAGCTCATACAGCATCAAGGTCCCGCAACACGCACGCCAGCGTCAGTTTCCAGCGTACACCACACAGCCCCATCAACGTTGCATCCTCCGCCCTAGCACCTCTCCGGAGAAAGGGTGCTTCCGCAGTTCCGCCTGGCACACATTTCCTGGATCTAGGTGTTCCACATGTAGGCAGGCATGCGAATGTGGCGACCCTTTTCGTCAATCTTCTCGTAGATCACTCTCCGCCGCAAGTTGCCCCACATGTCTCTCTCGACCACATCCTTGACATGAGCCCCAGCGTACAATTCCCTTTGTGCACAGCACAGATGCGGTCAAGCCATGCAAACTGGATGCCGAACCTCCCAGCAGCACGGTAAGGACATGCCCCACAATCAGTGCAGGGCGATCTGTTTGTTGACACTTCTGCGAGATCCTGTTTGAGCACATTTGTCAATGCACAACAAGCAATGCCCTGGCAGACGCAATGATGGGCAGAACTTCAGAAACAGCGTCAATTGCAGAGCAGTGTTATGTTCTCTTACAACGACTGAAGAAGACTATTACTGACCACGTCCGCACTGTGGAGGAAATAACTGGGAATGTGCATGCGAGCATGCCTGTCACTCCCAGTCATACACAAAGAACAGGAGCAGACAGCTGCCGTGATCGACTAGGCAACAAGTCACTCATCCCTTGAATGCAGGGAGCTCTGTGGTCGCAGCACAGGCACAAGAGAGTACTTCCCATCCGTACTTGTAAGCAGCCCTTGATCTCGTGTTGATCTCATCAACTTCAGTTTGCGGCCGTCGTTGCTCACACAGAGGGGCATCAGCATAGGCCCAGATCCACCTGCCCACCCCAGTGACGCCAATCGTCTCATATTTGCCTGCTCACACACACACACACACACACAATCAGCCCGCTATTCTTGCCTCTAGACCATTACATGCCGACAAGGGACGCTTCACCCCATACGAACACTCTTGTTTCAGACGAATGTGCCACACTGGGCTTAAGACACAGCTAAAATCATCCAAGAACAGCAAAACCAGACATTACCTCTCACAACAACATCTCGTTCAAGCTCCAAGAAGGCTCTGGGAATCATGTTTGTGCTCATGCGAATAAAAAAGCATCCAGTGCAGGGTTACCTATGTAGTCCAGCAGGTTGGCGGTGCTGATGTACAGCTCCTTGGCGGGGTTCACATTGAGCGAGAAACAGGACTTCACCCTGCCATACACAGCAAACTTAGAATCTGGAGAGTTTGAAGCAACAAGTTGGTGAAATACTCAATGCGCAATGAGCAGCTGGAACACAGCCATAACTCGCCCTGTTGGTGATGGCACCCGCATCCAAATTTGCATCATGGGACGCCAGTGGCGAAGAAACTGCTGTCCACTCTGCCCGCAAGCCCCCACCCACCCCCTCACCAGCCCCCATCCCCACCCGCACCCGCACCCGCACCCGCACCCGCACCCGCACCCGCACCCGCACCCGCACCCGCACCCGCACCCGCACCCACACCCGCACCCGCACCCGCACCCGCACCCGCACCCCTCAGAAAACCTGGCGATCCCAGGCACACTTCATGTTGCTTTAATATGGGCCATTTTGTCCCCTATCCGCGTGATGAGATGCCAGGTTGTGGACACATGGGAATCTGGAAGCACTAGGAGGAAAGTTGTCTTTTATGTGAACTTCCAGTGAGTCAAAAGCACAATTCATTGATTTCTGTTCAGACACTGCACAACTCAATGTTGGGGTTGCCAAACCCCTGTGACACCGGCTCCTTCAACAGGACCAAGAATAGTCCACTCACCTCATCGATTTGAGGTCCCGACCAGCTTCATCAAAGAACTTTTTGAGACGTTCAGCGTATATGATGAGTGGATGGGCTCGTGTAAGCACTTTCTTGGCCTGCCTTGAGTTCAAATACATGTCCACCTTGGGGGCAAACTCAAGGACTGTCCCATTTGTTTCCTCAGTCACAAAATACAACCATCCTACTTTGCCTCGGAGCTTCATGTGCCAAGCACCTGAAACCACATATAAAAGAAGCAAAGTCTCAGCCCGTATGCTCTCTCAGGACAATCTTCTTCAGTTGAAAAGACTTCAAGTCTCCAAGCCTGGATGAGGAGAAAGCCTTATTGCACAGAAAAGCACAGGCTGCTGCCGGGGACACAAGGGTACCACAAGGGTATCAGCTTCTGGTGCCATTCTGTGGACACACAGTGTAGCAATATCACACAGCAGGCCACCAGAGCCAAGAATACACAGCGCAACAGCGACTTGAGCAAGTCATTGTCTCAACACATTTTGCAGATACAGTTTGCAATGGAGTATGACAGCTTCTACCACTTCAGGTCACCTGCAGGATGCCAACTGGTGCTGGGCTATACACACAGTGCGAATGTCTATTGTCTATTTTTGCTGCAGCTGAGGTAGACAACAGTGGCCCAGTTCAAAGCGTGTTTTATACTATGTGGGGATCTATTCAAAGATATATTAGCAGGGGTTGTCGGCAAGACACACTCTGGTGTTGGCACTCCATGCATGGTGAATAACAACAACAAGAGCAGCATACTCTTGGGCGGTTGTGCTCTCACCAATGTGCCCCTCTTCTGTCCATGATGGGTTGGACTTGTACAGGACGAAGTGGCGCAGAGGGTACAGGGCGTGAAATGCAACGAAACTGCAGAAGAACAATAATACAAATCGCCGATACCACACTGTCCTCCTGCCACTTGCTTTCTAACCACAACAAACGAATTAGAACCGTTAATCACAAACCGATGAGAACATTTTCTACTGTCCGATGTGGATTTCAACGATTTGCCAAAGGCACCACCAGCCCCAGCAAGCTTGCTATGTCATCACTCTTGCCTAACTCTTTTATGAGGCACAATCTTTGCTCACAACTTAATTTGAGACTGGGGATTCTGTAGAACGGTGCGTTGGGAAACTGTTGAAGTTTGTATGGGTAGATTCTGTACTCCAATCCATTCTTCGCCTTGCAGCATCTGGTGTATGATTCTGGTGGTCCCAGACAGGAGATCAAGAGATCTCTTGCTGCCATACTGGACAGTGATATGTGCCATTGAGATGTGTTGATGTTGTGGGTAAGCTCGTTCTCTACTACAGTGGCATTTAAACCAGATCCATACCTGTCTGTATTGCTTGGCTCCTCCATTCTTCTCATTCATTTCACTATCCTCGTCCTTTGAGGATGCATCAGGAGGGAGCAGTGGTGAAGGTGCACCCGTGGCATCTGCTACTATAGCTGCTGGCAAGTGTGCTGGAATGAACAGCACCAATGAGGTGATCATTGCCAATGGGAAGACACCAATGTTAAATCTGAACAGGGCACAGCTTCGGTTACTCAAAACACAACGAAACCGCTATATAAGCCAGGTGCATAAATACGGCATGATTATCACCATGCCTTAAAGGCTGGGAAAATGTCACAACTTTGTGAAACTGCGAACCGCCACTGTGAATCCAAGCGCTGTAGCAAAATACAAGGGTGGCCTTTGCTAACTGCTTCCTGTTGCTGGGACACAAGAACAGGTAGCTTACTGCAGCAATTCATGCCATTTGCAGCAATTCCTCCCATTTCAAACATCATGTTCCCTGCACAGCATTTTATTGACCCATTGGGAATTTCCACAACTGACAACGCATCCCACACTTTGTGTGGCACTGCAAAGACTGTGTTTCTTGTCAAGAAGCTGAGGCGGAAAACACAGCCGGGTGTCAGCGTCTGCACAACATGTCTCAATTTTCGTAATTCCTTACTACATCTACACTTCCACAGAAAAAATAAAACAGTACAGAGGGCACAAGGGTAAAATTCTAATCTCTCCTTGATACCCAGAACTGTGCAGCGACCCCCACTTGGCGCGGCAGACAAGAAAGGTTCACTCCCATACACTTTCGCATATCTTGCAGAACAAAAAGTTGACACCCATAAGTTCTCGCGTATTCAACACTGCGAGTTTGTTTGCCCCCTGCAAATTTCCTCCCACGAAATGTACGGCAGGGGGTTCGCAGCGAACGCAAAGGGCTCTGACACACAACGGAACATTGTCGCCATTCGGCACAGTGGAACAGAAGGCGAATGAACACAGGGATGCTTCCTGGAATCGCCTGCGGTCTCCGCATTCGACTGGGAGATGGACACTTCATGCACCATTACGTACGAAGTGCTCAGAGTTTACAGTACTCGAGGCTGCTTCCCCGCTGAGTGTGGCCTGCAGAGGTCCACCTGCTGTATCTGTACTTCCCGCGATACGGCCACGCCCACTGGCGTTTCGTTGAAGTGTGGCCTGCGGAGCCACTCTTGCCTTATCTCTGCATTCAGCAACACGCGATATGGCCTCGCGGAGAGTATATTGGTCCCGCTGTCTTCCGTGAGGATCCTTTCTTCCGCTGACAAGGCCAACGCTGGTGTGTGGGTCAGTGGTTTTAGGGATTAGGGTGTCCGAAGCGAGAGCGGATCTTTGCTGAAAACAGGAAAAGACAGAGGGGCTAATTACATGTCTGGCTTGCAAATTTGACACCACCGCTCTGTCTGGGACGTCTGGGACCTTCTGGGGGGCTGGGGAACACGGCCTCAACAGCACGGCTCGTGAACAACTGCTCTAACGCACGGTTTGCCCACCCCAACAGGTGAGTTTGCCTGCAAGGGCGATTCGAAGAAAACATAGATCTAGACGCTGAAGAGGAGCTAATCGCGTTGGCCACCGGGCAGTGTTGTCATGAACTTGTGACGACAGCGATGTGGACGTCTGCTAAGGGACGTATGCAGAGCTGTGCGCAGCCGCTGGCAGTCGCCGTGGCGATGCACTTGTGCCAGCTCGATGGCTGGTGTGTAGCCGCTTGGCAGGAGTGCAGCGGCTCAGCATCGAGGCATCGTACCATGGAGAACGCATAATAGCCCTTGCAAGGATGGTATTGTGCGGTCCAAGAATATGGCTGAATGGTGCCAACATTTGTGCGCAGAAGTAGGCAAAGCTAGCAACATATTCTGCAACCCAACGGGGACTCATAACACGACCTTCTTGTCTTGCTATGCACTGGCGCCTGACCACACTGGCCAGACCCTATTTCTTCTGTGCTCTTTGTTCCAGGGGATTGCGCCTTGGTAAGACGTCCTACTCATTGGCACGTGTGTTTGTGTGTGGGTAATTTCCACGATCATACATTAGAACACAATCAACCTGGGGCTCCTGCTGCAGCACTGTTGCAGAAAAGCATGCATTGACATGCCTTGATGTCAATGCAATGAACAAGTTGACATTCTACATTCTAGTACTGACATCAATGCAGCCCATATTGCACTCCCGGTCTGTGGTGAAGTTAATTTGCCTAGGTGTGCGTTGCCAGGGCAGGGCAACCATTTGCCCTGCAGGCACACCATTTTATTGTGGCTGCAGGCACTGCTGCAACCAGAATGTAGCACCACGTCACTGCAAGGGACTGAGATGTGCAGCATCTGCATTCCACTTACAAGCCAGTTGAAAGATGCTTGGGACTCACATGAATTTGTTGGAGATGTTGAAGACCAGTGCAGCAGGGAACCCCAGCAAATATCTTGTTGGCCTATAGAATAGCAGGAAGGAGATCTGCAACGTACAGCACCACACAGCAGGATGTCAGTGTTGGGAAGGCATCATCTTGAAGAATGACCAACTCAACTGAGATAACCACATTGTACTGCAGTCCCATTGCCTGCAGTCAGCACTGAAAGTCATCGCACAGATGGAACACAAACGCACGAACAAGCACAACAAACAGCACATTCTGACGTGGGATCATCCTGTAGTTGCACTGCTGCATCGAGTACATGTGTACAGGTGGGTGACAAGCACCTGATTCCACCAGCACTGGAACAACTGTTACAAATCCACTGTGCCAGTGCACAGTTACTTCAGAAACCGCTAATGTGCCTGCAAATAGTAAGAGTTGATTTTGCTTGTGCCACAGGCTGGGAACCTTCAACTGCACTAAACCGTTGGAGATAAAAGCAGGCAGCCCAAAGGGACAAAGGGGTCATGAGTACATAGCAGCATTTATTGGTACATGCATTTATTTATACACCGCAGCATAGCAGGCTTAGAAGCAGCCCTGCAGTTGTGACTCACCACCAAGTCAAACATCACGCCTGTCTCGGCAATGAACCAGGGAAACCACCAAGCCTCCAACAGCGGGCCACCTCCCGTGAACCAGTCCTTCAATGGCTGGGCTCGAAACAACCAGTCGGAGTTCAATTTCGCAATCCCTCCAAAGAAGTAGGGTACACAGAAGATGAGCCTGAATATCAGAAGATTCCAGAAGGGAATCGTGATTGGTGCATTTTTGGGGCGTTGGCGGAAGAACAAGATGCTATCCACGGAGAGCCATTGATTCCAGTTGACAAAGATGGCAAGGAAGCAGATGTGGCACATCAGGACATAATGGTTGTTGAAGTACGAATGGCAGTGGTGGAATATGATGGCGAAGTTGATGTAGAGGACCACTGCCGTGATTCTTGTCAAGAGCCCCACACAAAGGAAGAGACTGGCAACAACTGAAATCAGGAGCATGGCATTGCCAACAGCTGGCGACACTGGTTTGATCCACCCCACTCCAGGGTAGGGCAGCGTGTATGCAGTACCCTGGGGAAGCACACAGTGCACAACTGCACGTGTCAGCACCTCTCCACAAAATGCCTTGTCGGCACGCTCCTGGAGAAGGAAATCGGGTTCGTTCATTGGCACACTGCCACCTGCATTTTCCGGGTTTTCCAGCGATGGTTCTCCACAGCCCAAAGGGCATATCAGCCGTGGCCATGTGGGTGAATACCAAGGGCAGAACATCTTGGCAACAAACACACTTCTGACGAAGACAAATTCCAAAGGATTTCACAACCGTTTCCTTTGACTCCAGCCGTGCGTCCATCGCTGCCGGCCACGAATCAAAACCGTCGCCGTCTCCACGCGCGCACACCACCATATCGTGCGATGCTGGTCTCCTTCGCTGTGGTGAGTTTCGAGGCTGTGGACACGCTGGGAGATCCAATGGCACGGGTCGGAATCACTTTCCACTCAGCACTGAAGCAGTCCCGTTCATAACAGCAGTGGCAGCTGCGAAATCACGCGGAGACACACAGCCCGGCGTGAGTGGCCCAAAGCGCTGGTTCCCTTCCCGAATCCCAGAATTGGTTCAGCACGGCGTCACTCCGATGAGGACGATGAGCGTTCATCGTGCGTTCGACACCGCGCACAGGGATCCCCCGCCCCCCCTTGCCAGATCCCCCGACCAATTGCCGGGCGCCAACAGGCCCGCACCTGGAAATGGTCGAACATGTTCCACCACTTGGTGAATTGCGTGAACATCACGAACGAGTAGAGGACACGGAAGAGGCACAGGGTGGAGGCGTGCACGGGGCGGTCCAGCCATTCGAACAGGCGGTCGGCTCGATCGGACCAGCTCGGGCTCGCCGGCTTCGCCGGGACCCGTCCTCCCAGGAGAGCATCGCTCTCCTTCAGCCCCTCCGGATCGGGGGACTTCTCTTTGCCCGGGCCGCGAGGGCGGGTATACGCGCCCCCCGTGTCCATGGATCCGAAACCTTGTGCTTCAAATTGGGCGTCAGGCCCTCCTTCAAAGGCGCTGTTAGCCGGGGCGCAGGGGGTACCCGCAGGCAGGCGCGGTCACAGCAGCAGGTGGCGCTCCAGGAGGGACGTCCACGCCTTTGGAGGAGGGGCCCACCCAGGCCCGAGAAGCCCGAGAACTTCGGTCGCAGTCAAGCGATGGGACACTCGCAAGCTGGAGGCCCAGGCGGCGGCACGCATGGCTGCCATGCAGAATTTGATGATGACAAAGGGTGAGACAAAGGGATGCGTCCCGTCAAACGAGTGCGACGGGTCTCAAACGGATGTTAGTGAGGGCGGTTGATGCCCCGAGTGTCGTCACAGATCCGGTGAAGATGCGATTGGTTGTGGCCATCGGACCAGGGATCAGCCACACTGTGTGACAAGAGTGGGGTGTGGTGTAGCGCGGTGCACCGGATAGCCACCTTCAATCCCTGAATGATGCGCAGGCCTCACTGCGGCTGCTCGGCTGCGGTGATGCGCCTCTGGGAAAGAGGCGGTGAGGTCTCTGCTGCTGGGGTTTCAAAGGCGCGTGGAGTTCGGGCTGGGGAACGGAATTGACGGGCCTCCAACTGAAACGGAATATTCCGTTTCATTAATGAAACGGCGGATGGGCGGCAACGGGGCTCAAAGAACGCGGACCGCCAGACATCCACGGACCGCTGGCAGCTGATTAGACCCGTGGGGAGGATGGATGCAGTTTTCTCCAACTCCAGTTTGGTTCCCCGCGGCTCAGCGCACGAGATCGAAAGCCCAAGTCCGGACAGGTGTTTGAGCAGATAGGCATGCGCGCAAGTCCTGGTGCGATGCGCGAAGCACGCCCTAGCGTCCGGCAGCCATGCGCATTGCCTGACACGCCGAGACTGGCCCAGGGGTCGACTGGCGGAAGGCGTGTTCAACACGTCCGCGAAGCAACTGTGCATGCAGGGCTTTCTGGCCAGGAAGCTCCCCATGGGAGGCGGCACAGGGGACTTTCCGCTGCGCCGTTTGCCCGCGTGGCCCAGACGACGACGGTGCCCAAGGGCCGCCCCATGAGCTGTTGGACAGCAGGACTCGGTATCGCCCAGAGGCCCTTTCCGCGTCGGAAGGCCGACCGACTCGCTCTCTTTCGCCTTTGGTGGCGACGAGTAGTGCGTGTGTGCTCACTCGCTTACGTGCTCAACATACAGTACCGGCCAATACGCCAATTGTGCCCTAACCCGTTTGGTGTTCCGCGGGGTGTGGCGTTGAACCTCGTACCACCGCGGGAATGGCGTCCAAACGGCGATTCTCCTGGCAATGAGCCAGTCACGCAAGGAAATGGACGCTCGCCCGATCGAGCCGAAATGGGTGGCGAAGATGCACCCGCAATGGTGGACTGTTACTGCGGCATGTACCCAACGAACGGGGCACGATCCCCGTGCATGCACAGGAAAACGCAAGTGTGGCCCCGAAACAAGTGTGTGTTCGTCACAAGCAAAGCCGCACGTACGTATATAGTCCAGCCATTGGGTGCGGCACCAATACGGTATCCGTCTCAGTCATACCCAAAAGGTCACGTCAAATCTTGCACAGCATCGTAATACATTGTTCCTGGGTGCGCAACCCTCACCTTAGTCTACGAACAGTTCCAGCTTATGCACTACTCTGCGCTGCCCTGTGTACCGAACACGTCTTAGTCCTTGGGTCCGGCCCCGGGCCCCAAAGTACGAGCTTCGCCCACTAATGTACTAGCATGAGTTACCCAAGGCTCTAACCACGTCCCAGCCCTTGGGTGCGCCACCCGACCTCCAAAGTACAGGCTTCAACCGCTAACATAAAGTACAGGCTTCAACCGCTAACATACTAGCCTGCATTACCCAGCCATCCCCACCATACCGCCGGTATCTCACAGGTGCTCGGAATCTGACATGCCACTCAAAATGCACACCCATCAGTCATATCGCAAGGCTGGCCGCCAGTTCCCCGCGCTGGGGCCCAGCATGTGGTGCGGCACCCGTAGTAGCTAAACGTCATAAGGTATTGGAAAATGCATGGGTGCAGCACCCATAGTACTCTGGCCAACTAAAGTACTCGGAAATTGGCATCTGGCGCACCCACGCCCATGCTTCCACCAGCACGCTCTGCCACCAGTCATCACAACACGCCTCGGTCCATCACAGCGTTTGGCAGTCTTCATCATTGATCCTCAAAATGGCACGTCCATCAGTCAGTCTTCTGGCACATCATCAAAGCCGGACGGCACGCCATCTGACGCATCTTCAAGTGTGGCATGTTATATCGGCAATCATCCAGCATGTCTTCAAGAATAGTACGGCCACGACCCAGCTCCATATGGATGCATCAACGGGCTCATCATCTCATTAACGGCTCGAAATTGGCACCGCTCATCTTCAAGGCTACGGCACCTCGTCTCCACTCATCAAGGCATTGGGTCCGGCACATCTTCCGTAGTCAACATGGTAGCCTCGCGGCTCATCTTCAGGGCCACAATATCTCATTATGTTCTGCATTCCCTGCATATTCAGACCATGTCCATACCGTGTATTGACTACTCACGTAGTCGTGATATCCAAGCCGTACCAGTACTATTGACCATCAGATCGTAATGAGATTTTAATGACCAGGTACCCGGTTCTGGAGTTATTTAGAAAATCGCCACACAGGTCGCTGGAGGCCATTCACTCGCCAGACAATAGTTTGCGTGTCCTATTGACTACAACAACGACTGCTGTGCTGATCGGTGTACTGCCAACTTTTATCAAACGGATGGTGCTAATGCCCTAGTCTACCCACGAACAGTTCCTTTTGACAGGCGCCGCATAAAGGGTTGGGCTCACGGGAAGGGGTGGCAATTCGTTGGCCTAACATACAGTCAGCGCATTTCTGATCAGGAAGCTGCGGGCGAGCACAGGCGATGCCACGTTTGTTGATGGTCCTTGGGCAAGCTTGCGCCTGGTGGCTCATGAACTGTGTTCAAGTACGGTTAAGGCAGCAGTGCACTCCAATCGCACTTTCATGGAGAGTCGATGCTTAGTTTTAAATGGTTAGCCTTGGCGGCCGTCCAACAGGTGGGCAGGCAGGCTCCACCATTAAGGAGAGCACACCGAACATGCTTTCCCTTGCTTTGCTCCCCCCCGCTCTTTGGTTTAACGTGGTTTCGAATTTGAATTCATTCAAATACAAGGTAATGGTGCGAAAGCCCAACCAAGACCCTGCCGTATCTGTTTCTACGGTTTAATCGCGAATTTAAGGACAAGCTAAATTTGCCCGCTTGTGTCCCAGAACGGGTTGCTGGAACCCCAAAATTTTTTGGTTTGTGGAACAATCTGCGAAGCTAAAACGGCTTGTGATAGCCAGTTGGGATATGGACAGTAATGAAAACCCAATAAACGGGCTGGAGATACGAGCTGATAACAGAAGGGTTGAAATCACGCCGCAAACTGGCTGTCAGAACACTTGTAACCCCCTGTGCACTCTTCTTTCCCTCGTCACGGCGACTCGTACGTCCGTATTGTTTAACTGGCCGGACGTTTTTGTTGCTCTTTCCTGGTCAGTCACAGCTTCTCGATTCTCAGGTATTGGCGGTCCGTGGTTTGAACAAATTGAAAACCACAGCAACGGGGTTTGCTGAAACGGGCTGCGAACGCCCCACACGCGATGCGGAAACGAACGCGGACATTAAGTGTGGAAACGGGTGCAGGAAACGTTCTTGAAATACATAAAAATTGACTGCCGGAGATGAATTCCTCATCTATCCAGCAGAAGCACGGCAATAAGTTATCCCGCTTCAGTATCTGCGTCAATGACCAGCTCGTCTTCATGAACTCGTCTAGTATTGAGCTCTTTCAAGATGTTTTTCAGATATCCGGTATCAGAGGTTGTGCTACAAGCTCATGCAGCAGTTCAAAGGCTTAACGGGCGCTGGAACTTTCCTTGCACTTGTGACGACGCAATCTGGAGCTGTTGGTTGTCTGCTGCAGGTGGCAATAGGAAGTCTGCAACAACATTTGCTGAAATTGTCTAATTCATCTCAAATATGCTCTGAAGGCGTTGCACAGCCCAGCGCCCTTTCGAGTGTTGGATACACTCTAGGCCGCCGGCCTGACGCTTTTGGACGGAATCCATCCAAAAGCGTCAGACCGGCGGGCTTGCAGGTTGGTGGAGGTTTCATTCGGCAACCACGCGCATTGTGGCCAGCTGCCATTCTCGAGTCGATTCTGGCCATGCTGCAAATTTGAACGCGACAGGATAAAGGGAATGGCCATACATGCTTGGAACGCCACGGTGCGCGAGAAAAGGTGGAACAATTTGTGATGGAGGGGACGCGACTGTAGGGAGAAGCAATGGCGGTGTTGTTCTCTCCATTCTCTCGAATACAAACGCCAATGTGCAGACTTTTCCAGCGAACGGTTCATCGTTCTGCAAGAGCGCACATAAAGATCACCGACCCCACTGCTCTTCAGGATCCACCAAGGCGGATCTTGATGGCCTGTGCTGTAGGCATATAGGAATGCAGATGACTGTAGAATCGTCAAGGCATCGGGACGTGCAACAACGATCGTGCTGCAAGTGGTCTATGCCTTCGCCAATTTCTGAGGAGGGGACGAGAGAAGCACTCTGGGCGTGGTCTTCCTCTTCCTGGACGGCAACTGGCACAACCCCCAACACTCAGAAATGACGGTCAAGCCGCGCAGCAGTTTCCCAGTTGAAAACGTGGGCATCGCCGTTGTCGCCTGTAACAAATGAGCATCAGGACACGCCAAAAACGCAGTCCACTGAAGCTATCGCACCTCGGATGTGCCATCCACACCTACCGCGTCCCAGACTTCGCTTCTGTGCTCTTGAAGATCCCAGACCAGTTCTAGGCCTTGACAGGGCTCCGAAACGTCATGCAGTGGCACAGACTTCTCAGCACCGCGGATGAACACGGCCATCTGCACATTGAAACTACACTGTCAGCAGAGATTGGATTGCACTGTTGGCACGTGTTCCCACATTCCACAGTTATCTAGCCCATAGGACACCCAAAAAAACAGCGACCACAAATTTTTAAGTCCTGGAAAAGGGCTGAAGAGCAGAGCAATGCATGTGTGCCAATAAGCGAAGGATTTATGTCCTACTTCCTCCGTCCAAGAATAATTGTCCTCTATGTCTATGGGGCACGACTTCTCCATTGTACTTACATCAGTTTTCAATGAAATTTCTCCCAAAGTTGTGTTTGTAAGTCTGGAGCATACTAACGAAATTTCAAGTAAACTCACTAAGTATTCAGGATTTGGCAGTTCTTTGTACCAGCGGTCTTTTACCTAGTGAACCTCGGTATTTGGGGTCAAAAATGACCAAAATTTTCCTTTCCCCTAATGCTCAAATGGCTCGTGTCTCATTTTCTATTCTTGAAAATTGGTAGTTAAGGGTTTTGCAACCTAATTCTTCCGTTTCTAGAACTTGTTTTGAATTTTGAGGCAGTCCTTGTAACGAATTCTGTCTTTTAAATAGAGGACAATTAATATTGGACAGAGGAAGTATAAAGGAACACCGCTGGATTAAGGTTGCCAGGATCGTCGTGTCTCTCCAGGCTCTCAGTCAGCGTCTCACGTTCCCATCGCATTCTGGTGCCCGGTCCTCAGTGACATGAGCAAAATTTTGCTGTCAATAAACTGGAGTGGTCACCTGAGATGCAGAGCCCACATCCTGCGTCTGTTGAAACTCTTCGACCTGCAGCGCCTCTGCCTCGTTGATGGCATGGCCAATCCCCTCGAAGGTGACAGAATAGCCAAACTGGTCTGCCAATTTTTGCCCCCAGTCCTCAAATTCTGCACGGGTCCACTCGAAACGGTGGTCTGAGCAGCGCATCGGGGTCCCATCACGTCCTGGCGGCCCGCCTTGACAGCCACCAAGCTCCCGAAGTACAGCATTGTACTCCCAATTCGGAGTGCTTGCCACAAATAATCTGGGCTTCAGGCTGCCCAGGATGGCAGACCCTACGCAGCTGACGGGCAGTACATACAAGTCAACCAGCGTCCTTTCCAACAACACAGATTGTCCAACCAAAAATAATGTGTGCAAGTGCGGATGCAGCACCATATGCAGGGTGAATCCAACAGCTTCAACGTTGAAGCCCCGTACGGTTAACCGTACTTAAATTGATTGGCCTGGTCTATGGCCACAGATAGGGTTACGTTCCTTTGCCTACTGGAGACCTGCGTGGCAAGGGCTGCATCAAAATGGTCTGTACGCCTTGGTGAAGCATCAACAACGTACAAACATAAAGACCTCTGGTCCTGGCAAGCGCATGCAGCCACTGCGCGAACGATGCTTCTGCCATTCAAGCTTCTGTAGCAATGTACAACTCTATTCTGAACCACCGGAAATTTGTGCCCCAAAGCATGGTTCAGAGGCATCCAACACCCCACAACGCACTCTCGCCATGCCCCTGATATTTGGCACCATGACCTTCCAAGAGACCCAGCACAGGGTTATTGGGCTGTTACCGTAGAGGTTCTGTATCCAGGTGCTCCACAACTTCAATCATGGCCACTGCATCAATCCCCAAGAGGGCTCCCCAAGTCTCAGGATCGCTCATCCCAGGCTGCAGGACATTCCCAAAGAACAGCTTCACATCCAGCTGGCTGCCATTTTGGTCTCCGGACACCTCAGCTTCCCCACTGCCATCATTCATCTGCATTTCACGGAGCGCCTTTTTCACCCTTGCTGGGGATCTCAGCTTGTCTTTGGAAACATCAATGCCCACAAGCTGCCGAACGGTTCCAAACTGGGCATGTCCAAGCAGAGTCTCTAGGAGGCGGCCCTCACCGCAACCTTTGCAACAGTAATAAGAAGTGACAGCTTCAGATGATTCTGCTGCAAGGGTAATATTCTGTCCAATTGGGAATGGAGATCTGGCAAAAAATCTTGTTCACATTCTGCTCATGCCCAAGATTCAAAGCACCCACAGGAGAAGCAGCAGCAATGCAGGTTCAGGCCTGTTCATGCAGAGAGCAGCACTGCCGCCATTTACAGCATTTAAGCATACACAAGAACTTCAAATGCGAGAGCATTGTTTATGTTTACGTCAATGCAGGAACAGGAATTCGAACCCATAACATACCTAGGTCCAACAATCTTGTTGGTTGAATTTGCAGGAGACAATCTGCAGCACGGGAGTACCGCTGCTGGCCTAGTGGCGGTGAGAAAATCTTGACCTGCTGGGATTCACCATTGGGCACTTTGGCAGCAAGCAGCTCAACTTCCAACGTCAAAGGCACACTTTCAAACTTATTCAATGGGTCAGTGCCCTCCAAGCTTGAATCCTTCCTGTCACATCTCATAGCAATCAGCAAACTACAGCTTTGAAACCAGACAGGCCAACAAGGGTCTGTTTCGAAAGTTTTGAAGTACATTTCTCAATACAACACAATACCTTGCATCCAGTACCACCATCTATCACACAAGCTGATATGCACCAAACTCCCTTAGTATACACTGCCTTTTTCCTTTGGGGGTTGCATCCATAAGTACCATCCCCCTGATGCATATCAAAACCTTGTGACATTGACAGAAGAAGTTCTCAAATTGCGCTGTTTCAATTCCATTCTGTGAAGGCAGTCGCAGGGTATCCCCAATTTTGTTGCCACAAAATTCAGCACAATGACAAAGTTGCCAGTAGCAGATTATGGAGTAGGCAGTTCACCATCAGTACATAACCCATACCTCATGCGCCCTCTCCCTCCAAATTGCAGATGCTTGACCAGATAATCCATCTCTTCACAAACTACCCCAGAGCCAACCTCAAACTTGAAGCCTTGTTGAAATTCAATAATGACCTCACCATTCTCTCCAGCACTTGATTCAGTGCCTTCCGTTCCTTGTGGCTTGGTAGAGAGGCAATAGCTCACCTAACACAATAAATTGTGGCAATCATCTGACCACATGTACCTGGATGAATAAGGTACCAAATGTTCCAACCCCTCTATCACTTGAGGGGCCAAGCGCACACAAACTTTCACAGACACCAATCAGATCGCAACAGCAGAATGGCTGCATAGTGGAAACCACTGCTCTCTTGGCCATGCAATGGCAATTTTTGAAGCTGAGGGCCCATTTGGACATCTACCAGCAATGGATGGAGACAACCCACTTTCAGGGTTCATAATCCATGCACTTCAACTTGTATTGTGACTGACTGCAACAACTACCCCCCTCTTGGCAAAAGCAATCCAGAGATTTGGCATTCAGCCCAATTTGAGCATCAACATCACAAGCAGTTAAGTCCAGACAATCCTCACTGCCATCCCATGCAATAATGTGCAGTACCTCGATGCAGCTGAAATTGTGCTCCAGCAACGCAGCACACATAACATATGCATATGCATCGAGAGCCATCATAAGAATGACTGAGTAGTGTTGTTATTCATGCGATGCTGAATGTGTCACTTCAAGGGCCCTTTGGTCCCCTGTGTGCTTGCCCACAAGGGTTCTTTGTCTATTGCTGTACTGGAGGATTGAAAGGATAGATGAGGCTTGATGGAGGAGAAATCTGTGATGGGCATCATCGTGGTCCACAGTATGTCAAGCTGCAATTCAAAGATATTTGTGTCAGCACCCTTTAGCATGTTGAATTGAGAAAACTTCAAGAATCACATACACCAGTGAGGATTATATGCGGATCATGGTTCGATATCACTCCACTCCCCATCTTTTTAGCATTGCACCAACATCATTGTCGGGAATTGTCCCACAGAGAATCTACTTTGTCTCACAGAGAATATACTGCCAGGATACCAGAGCCACTGACCTCCACCTCCATGCCAGGGACAACTGCAGGGCTGTCGTCACCACCTTTCACCACAATGTGCACAGCTGAGTTGCCACTGTCCTTTTTGATGCCGCCCTGTTTTCCAGTGCCACACCCCAGCACTTCCACGATGGCAGACTGCAGCAGGTGTAGCAGTCTGAGAGCAGCATTTTGGCGGGCACATTCCTCATTTCTGTGCCAGGTCAAGACAGCAGGTACTCAGTTTGTCACCACAATGAAATGTTTGGCACCAAGCACCCATGCTTCAATGTCAATCGTCAGGACAGGTCGATGAGCATTCAATCGATGCACATCTGACAAGTGGGCGAATGAGACACTGGAGAGCAGGAGGCCAGCTGGCACACGCAAGAAATGGGCCCTACATGCAAGGACCTGAGGCCCCCTCCAGGGATTTTCCAGTAGGTGAAGTTACACTTGCAACCCACTCCACTTGGCCAGGGTCATCGTCTGCACTTGAACATTTGTAAACTGGTTTCCCGACTTTCATGTGAGTACAATATCCCTCCAGCAGAGATGTCGGAGACGCCCCACGCCACTTTTTCACATTCCTGATGGATGCACACACCATTGGTTAGCATTTGGCCACAGGCACTTTCTTTTCTTTCACTTGTGTCTGCTTTGGGACACCATCTGAATATTATTTGGACTGAGTATTTTTGCTGGACGACATCAGAACAGGTTGTTGCAGCCCAAAATTGCTTCTTGCTTCAGGGTTGCTTCTTACCCACTGGGGAGAATTCATTGTTTCTACAATCAAAGGCTCGCAGGGGAATTCCACACACAGCACAACAAATTGCTTGCCATTTTACGTGTCGCAAAAACAGTTACCCAGGCAAAGCATTGCAGTACAAGGCAAGAGTTCAACAGCAGCTGTGTGCAGTGCAGGAATGCTGTATATTGTGATCAATTGGCACATTCTGTATGTGTGGAACACAAGGTGTGTCTGTGTTTGATTTGGGCACAATTTAACGTGTTGTGTGCTGACAAGAACAGCAAATACAGCAATGTCCAAGACAATACCTGAGTGCATGTGGTAGTTTGGCAATAGTGCGGCTCATTTGCATACGTGTATGCACAACTTCTGGACAGTTCCAAGACATCCCCAGCCAGAAGTTCTGCAAAGTGTAGTCCCTCCACTTCATCCAGATCTGTCCATTCTTGCTCTGCAGTTGCACCACTGGAAAGGTGAAATTGGCCATGCAATACGCACACTTGGTACCGGAAGTCTGTATCAATGCTCAAACAGCATGGCAGGCTGTCTGCAAAAGCAGGCTGATTGCCAGTACTTTTGGACGTCTGCACATGCATGGGGTGTCTCCTGTAGTTGTTTGATATTTATGCAAAGGACATACTGTATACCGAAAAATTTTCGCGGGAGAAAAATTTTCGCGCATTTCGCGGTCGGGCCAGTGCGCGAAAATATTTCTCCGCGAAAATTTTGGTCCCGCGAATTTTTTTCGCCCGCGAACTTTTCGGCACCCCTCAGGGGTGGGTCAGGCGCTGGGCGCGCAGTTTGACCTTTTGGCTTTGCGCTGCGGCGTGTGGCCCCCGCCGAGCGGCAAAGAAGCCCTGAAGTGGCCAGCAGGGGGTTCGCAGGGCAGTGGCCATCGGCTGGCCGAATCTCCATGGAGCCCACAAGTTTTTGGGAGCATTTCGAGGGCACAGGCGCAGTGTGGCTTGCAAAGCGATCGGCGACCGAATCTGTGCCTGCATCGAGCCCGTTGAACGCGCAAGGAGCGCGCCCTGGGGACGGCCCACAGGGTGGCTCCGGATGCGGCGCGAATGCTGCGGCGCATGTCGCCTCTCATGGGCACCCGTTCCCACCATCGGCGGGTGCCATTTCAGGCGACCGCGGGTGATAGGAATGGGCGCCTGCGAGGCACCATTCCTGCTGCGCCTCTTGCGCTTCGCGGGCGCCCATTCGCGTCGCCTGCGGAGGCCGTTCCAGGCCACGGCGGAGGGCGCGAATGGGCAGCCGAATGAGGGCGCGACTGTCGCGCCTATCGCCCCTATCGGCTGGCCATTCGCGCCACCGACCGGGGCGATTGAAGGCTGCGCGGGCGGCGCGATTGTGCGCCCGCGAGGCGCTTATCTTGCGGCGCATCTCGCTCCTCGGGCTGGCGCCCACCCGGGCCACCGGCGGGGCCCATCCTAGGCCACCGCGGGCGGCGCGAATGGGCGGCCGTGAGGCGCCGATCCGGGCGCCCCTCCAAGGCCTCGCGGGTGGCCACTCGGGCAGGCCCTGCTGGTCGCCCACTACGCCAAAGGACCCTCAGTTTGCTGGGCCTCCGAGCGGGCTACAGCCAAGGCGGGAACCCGCTGGTACCCCACCCGCAAAGGTTGCGCAGCGACAATGTTCGCGCGGCAGAAATTTTCGCGGGGAAAAAAAGTTCGCGGGAGAAAAATTTTCGCGCACCGACGAGTGCGCGAAAATATTTCTCCGCGAATTTTTTTTCCCGCGAAATACGCGAAATTTTTTCTCCGCGAAAATTTTTCGGTATACAGTACTTGTGAGGGCACATGTATTGCATATTCTACACAAAACGACAAGCATGATATAATTGTGCTCACACACCCCAGGCGATGCTCAGACAGTCTTGTGCCTCACACTCACTGTGCAAATGTGGTTCTTCTGCAGATTTACAGTGACAAACTGGCGTATACAGGCAACATTGACAACCTTCCAACCAGAGTGGCCAAAGAGCACTATGTTGGTTGTTTGAGGATCACAACATGGGTGCCGAAACGACGAACAGGCATGTCAACATGAACTTTGAAACTGATTCATCTATCATTTGTCAATCCTAAACCAATACTATTGGGCGACCTCACAGCAAGTTTGCAGTCAAGCTACCTTTGTAGGCGAAGGCCTGCATAATGTCAGTAGTACAGGCCCATGAACAGTTGTCCCCACCAGCCAGCTGGCACGAATGTTCAGCTGGAGCAACAGAAATGCAAGTGAGCAAGCGCATGCCTCATTGTGCTGTTGTAATTGCCACTGGTGACACTGGAGGTTTCTCTATCAATTTCCATGAGCTCCTTGGCATGCCAGTTGTTGAGAAGAAACCACCACTGCATGAACTGAATTGATGTAAAATGAACCAGCAGTTCTGAGTGTGCTTCAATCATTTTGCAAGTTTGGCAGCGTCTTCACACGTGCATAAAGAGCGATTGCAGGAGCTTGTACGATGCTTGCCAATGGGCTACAACAACCATGAAACATGCACAGACTGAGTCCATTAAATCGTCAGCGATCCACTCACGTCCTGGGGCGATTCCAGATGTAAGGACCACATCGTGGGTTCTTTGACTTCGGCTAGTTGTGCCCTGCGACCCTGCGTGCACCAAGAGGTCGATGCACACATCTCACCCTTGCCATCACCAACCTCTCTTGTTTCACCAGCGACTTCCCCTGCCTTGGTCTTAGTGGCCTCGGCACAGGTGATGTTGGACTCTTGGGTTCTTGGTGTCAATGGGGGCGAAATGCAAGGTGTTGAATCCGATGATGAGGACTGTGGGTTCAGAGTTGGGTATGTTACTTTGGGTCCTACTCGGCCCCAGTGCACAAGACGGCTGTGCTCACCATCAAGTGCATTTGCAATGCCCTGGAGTAGGGACTCGCTGGTAGGCAATGCCACCTGACGAATGGGCTTGCTGCGCAGCAGACAATGGATCCCCAGGTAACACGTGGAAGACATCAGCAGCACAATAATGCTGCATCAATGGCAATACAAGCTCTTCTGCCACAATTCCAGCACGCAGCACATGCTCAACCCAGCAGAAAAATTGACCATTTGTGTAATTCCATCTGTTCGCATTGCCAATACTGATGTGTTACAATCAAGTAGATATCTCAGCCGTTCATGCGTGCATCCAGAGTATTGGTGCAATTATCTCGTGTAAGCTCTAGCCTTCATGAGCTTGCAACTCTTGCGCCATTGGCCACTCACCTTGTCCCAGGAGGTACGAATATAGCGGCTGCAGTGTCTGTGCAGCCCTCCAGCAGCCCTTGCATCCTCTCAGGATAGTCGGGGGTAAATTCAGCTTCCTTTATGCGACGCACCATCAATTCGTTTGGTGACCTGTCCACCTCTTCATCCCCGGAAACCCCAACGATGGCGTCCAGAAGCTGGTTGGTTCTCTCCTGGGGAGTCGCCTTGACGTCTTGGTCACGCCACAGGGGCTTGATCTCGCGATGCATTACCAACATTCCCAATGGCATCCACCCGTCGTGGTATTTTGTTGCAAAATGGGCGTACGCCCCGTGCTCAGGGTCTTTTCGGCGGCCCTACACGGCCGCAAAATGCTTCAGCTCGCGCTCCTTGATCGTTGGACGGAATCGCACATCGACCGTCAGCTGCCACTCTTTGCGTAATTGGGCACCATTGAGGAGGGTTCCACAGCGGCACCCTGCTTCGTCCCCACGATCGTGCATTGATTCTCCAAACACAGCGAGAAAAGGGAAAATCGCGATCCACAAGTTGATCAGCCCATCCGCACCCCGTCCGAAAGTGCCGCTTTGACGCGATCCCACGGCGGCCGATCGGCGCCCACGGCCATCGCCCGCTTGGCCGCGGGCTGCTCCAGCACGAACAGCAGAGCCGCCGACGCCGCATCCCTCTGCGCCGCCTTCTTGCTGCGGCCGAACCCTTGGAAGGCCCTGGCATCGAATCCCGGAACGCCCTCCCCTGGCGCCACGGCGGGCACGGTCAGATCGCACCGGAACCAGGGCTCGTTTTGCTTGTCCGGCAGGGGTACCCGCTCGGTCGCGTGGGTGGGCTGGGTGTGCCCGGCCCCAAGACGCGAGAACACGCGGTTGAGGTCGCCGAGGGCGTTCGCGTTCGCGTCGGACGACGCCATGGCGGGCGCACAAGAGCCCGAACGACTCTGCAGGTCGATGGCCCAGCGGTCATTTGCCCCCTGAACAGAACTCCATCCGGCCCCATGGAGATGCAATCACATCCCCCGCTGATCCCAAAAACACCCGCCCAGCACTCCCAATCTCTCTCTCCAACCCTGCACAACATTACCAGGCGAACGAGTATACAATCCCCGCCGTGACTCAGGGAAGGGATTTACAAAGTGCGGGAAGGTTCCTGGGAAGTCACCGCTTCCTTGAGGAACCACCCATAGAGTGAATCAGTCCCTCCGTCTTTTCCGTGAAGATGCTTCTTGTTTCGCTGACAAGGCCAACACCGGTCAGTGGGTTAGTGGTTTAGGCTTTAGGGTGTCCGACACAAGGAGGGATCTTCACGGAAAAGACAGCGCGACTAATTGGGTTCCCCCAGTAGACCAGTGTGACTCAGGCCATTGCGCGATCGTGCACACACCAAGGACGCATCCCATGGCCGAGCACCGGGAAAGGAGCCAACACTCCCCGTCCAGGAGCGCCTCGCCGGTAGGGCCCCGTCCCCATGGCCCTCGCCCTGGCGTCCCCAGGGACTTTGAGCCTGGGGCCCCGCCCCCGCCGGCCGCCCCGCGCCTCCGCCAAGGGCCGAGCGGACGCCCTGCCGGGCCCCAGGGTCCTGGTGGTGCCTGGCTACCTGATCGACGCCTCCGCCTACGTGCCTCTGGTCCGGTGCCTGCGGCGGCGCGGCTTCGCCGCGGCGCTGCCGCCCGTGCGCTGGCACAACTGGCTGCCCACGGTGGGCGGGCGGTCCCTGCGGCCCATCCTGGACCGGCTGGATTACGCGCTGTCGCGGCTGGTGGCGGGGGACCTGGCGGGGCCGGAGGACGGGTACGAGGTGCGGCTGCCCGCGGAGCCGACGTGGGCGGACTGGGCGGCGGAGTTTAGGGAGGCGTACAAGGTGCGCGGGCGGGGGCTGTTCGAAGGGCTGCAGTCCTGTGGTGAAATTTACGCCCGGGGATCGGGATGGGGACATGTGCGCGTCGCGGCGGCCTTTCTCCTACAAGGAGGAGATCCGCCCCGGCATGGCCTCTGCGCCGTCGCCCTGGCGCCGCCTTTTCGCAGAAGGGACGTTCGGGTCTCGTCGCCCGCGCGATGGAGTCCATTCCCATTTTCTCGTCGTGCAAGGCATCCGACGCCCGTTGCGGCCATCGGGCATGGGGCAGTGGGGATTGGCACCGCCCAGCAGCTCAGCCTCCGCCAACCCGCAGCTGTGATAATCATTGCAGGGCGCCCGGCCCCCGTTGGAGGCCGCCGGTCCCATGCCCGGCATCCCCCGCAAGGCCTGCCTGGTGGCCAGCTCCGCGTCCGGCTGGATATGCCGCATCTTGCTGGGAGGCGACCATGAGTACTGGGGCGTCGCCTACCACGGCCGCGACCGCGTGCGCACCCTGCTCACCCTGGGCACCCCCCACGCCTGCAGCGAGGCCGTCAGCAAGAAGAACATCGAATTCGTCAACGGCCGCTACCCGGGCTGCTTCGAGGACGGCGTAAAGTACGTGTGCGTGGCCGGGACGGCGGTGAGGGGGAAGGTGTGGGGGGGCTTGTTGCGGGACTTCGCGTACCAGAGCTATGAGCTGTGCCTACCGGGGCAGGGGGGGGAGATTGGGGACGGCGTGACGCCCGTGGAGGCGGCGCTGGCGCTGGAGGGGGCGGAGAGAGTAGTTTTGGATGGCGTATGGCACCAGCCGTCGGACGCGCACGGGGGCAGGCTGTGGTACGGCTCGGAGGAGGTCGTGGGCGAATGGGAGGGGTTCCTGCGGGAGTAAGCGCCCCTTTGCGGGCTGAGGGTTTACGAGTGCACGGTGTGGATGCGCTGCATGCCGCGCTGTTCGTTCGAATTCCGGGTTGGTTGTGTCTGAGGAAACTGCCGGATTGTGACGAGCAGTGCACGCACTCGGCTTGCCTATCGTGCGGAGGCCAGTTTTGGTCAGTGACAAAGGCCAAATTACTGAATTCGAGATTGCGCTGGCGGGTGGATTTTCAATACAGTGGCAGCAGGCTGTGGTTTCAGTGAGTTTGCATGAATTGGTTTTTCTGACGTGAGCTGTGTTTTTAAATGTGGAGTGGATGCAAGCATGAATTTCTGGCGATAAATGCCATGCTAAACTTGCCCCAGTGTGTACCAGTTGTTGCACTACAAATATACTTGTGCAGCAGTCCGTTTCTTTGCACATATCATGCTTGCAAACAGCACATACAATGGCAAACTCAAAATCCACATCGACTGTGATGAGCTATGGTTGGCAGCAAATGCACTTAAGGCTGAGGCAATCCCCAACAAAGACTCTGTCTATGTTGCTAATTCTAGTTCCACATGCCAACAAAGCTCTCTTTGCATTATGTCACAATGCTACAAGTAGCAATCCTGGGCATAACAATCCTATAGTAACAAGTATTCCATCCACACCTTGGGAATGGGGCAACAACAAATTATTAACTATATTTGAATGTGCACCAATGGGTTCACCTTTCCATTGGGAAGAATTTCAGAAAAAACACAACATTGTAAATAGTTATTGTATGGCCATTATGTATGACTGTTGACTATGCAGTGGCCGAGTCATGGCCACGTGGTCTCTCTTCGAAGGAGAGAACCAATCTAGAGACCAAAGCTAAGAGCACTCAGAGACAAGAAACAACTAACAAAGATTCCAGCCAGAAGAGCACATGATGCGGGTCCTAGCGAGGACCACGCACGGGCTGCGTGCGAGAGAGCGCGAAACCCAACGAGAGACATTACAGAGTGTGCTCCGCGCACACTTAACCTGTCAATCAACGTACAATCATATATAATAAAGTATATAATGTACAAATATTAATGTACAGCTAATTTAATGTACTACCAGCCAATGTCAGTAGTGCCACCGGCATCAATTCTCCCCCCAGAGCAAAGTGTTTGTCCGCAAACACAAGCATGACACTACTGAAATGAAAGGCGAAACGACAGATGCCAGCATACGAATAATTGCCATCAAGCAAGATATTCAGAGTGTCCCATAGCACTCCAAGTGGCCCATATCCTGCTCAAAAACAACTGCACCAAACTCCATGCAGACCCATCACTAATGTCTCATTGATTTCCTTCGACTTCGAGTGTTCTTCTGTGCTACTGCTTGCTGACGCTGCAAGTACTCTGAAAGGAGATCGCTGCAATGAGTAAGTTTGGACTCAGGCTCCCATGTAGCCTCATGCAGTGGGCAGTCTTTCCAGGCCACAAGGTAACGCTTCCTCGCTCTTGTACCCTTGTGCCTGATGATAGCCTCAACCTCATATTCAAGTGCCCCTCTATCTCAAGTGGAGGGGGTGAATCGACATTCCACTGAAACTCTGAACTCCTCTCAAAAAGTTTCAGCTTCTCCACATGGAATGTACGATGCACATGCCATGTGGCTGGCAAATCAACAGTGTACGCCACTGGACTGATCTCTTCACTATTCTGAACGGTCCTACAAATCGACATTGAATCTTGGGCAGAATCTGAGTGAAAGCCTGCTCAGGCAAAAAGGATGTCCTGATGACTACTTCATCACCCACTTTAAACTGTACATCCCTTCGGCGTTTGTTGACTGTCTTGATCATCTGATCCTGAGCATGCTTGTAACTGGCACTAGCATCATTGAGAGCTGTATGCATCTGCTTCAACATAGACTGAACTGACTCAATGTTCGTTGTCTGCTAATGTGAGGTAAACAAACTCGCATATACCTCAGGATTCTGACCGTACAAAAGGTAGAATGGACTGTATCCTATTGCAAGATGCATGCTGTTGTTTGCCGCAAATTCTGCTAATAGAAGCTGACCAACCCAATGCTCTGGATGTACCTCAATGTATGGACAAAGAAAATTCTCCATTGTTCGTATTGAAACTTCGCCCTGTCCATCAGTTTCTGGATGAAATGCTGTGGACATATTGAGGCGCGTCTCAAGCAAACGAAACAACTCCTGCCAGAAATTGCTCAAGAATCTTGGGTCACGATCAGAGATAATAATTCTTGGCACTCCAAACTGCCTGAAGATGTGCTGCAAAAACAATTCAGCATAACCTTCTGCCGTCAATTCCTTCCGGCACGGAATAAATTTCACAAACTTGGTTAGTCTATCAACAAACATAGCAACTGCAGTGTAGCCCTTGGACTCAGGTAAATCTGTCACAAGATCGGTAGTCAACTATTCAAATTTCTGTGTAGGCATAGGGATTGCTTGCCGCAAGCCTTTCTTGGCCCTGTTCTCTAATTTCATTACTTGACATACAGGGCAAGTTCTCACATAATGGGCGATATCCTGCCTCATACCTCTCCACCAAAAGTCCCTCTGAATCAGCTCTCTTGTCTGCTCTATCCCACAATGTCCAGCAGTTTTGGCATCGTGGTGCTCTGCCATAATACGTTGCCTCTCTCTGGCTGGAACCACAAGTCGACGCGATTGCTGAGTAGGCTCAAAGTACAAGAGACCAGCTGGATCCACAATGAAATCACGCACTGTCCTTCCGTCTTGCAATAGCTTTAGCTTTGCTTGCGCAAAAACATTATCATGCAATGCTTGAATCCACTGTGTTCTCTCCTCATCACTCAAACACGAGGTCACCACACTGTTGACCTATGCCTGCACTGTTGTGTCCACCAAAGGGGGTAAGCTTCTTGAAATTGCATCAGCAACAACATTCGCCTTACCCGGAATATACTTGATGGTTGGCATAATCGACTCGAAGTATCCTTGCTTCAACCATCTAGTCTGCGTTCTGGATAAATTGGTCTGATTCATGAATGTCGTTGCCGGTGACTGATCCGCCATCACTGTCACTCCAGCTACACTCCCTTCCAAATATTGTCTCCACTTGCACAAACAATAAGCCATCGCACACATTTCCTTGTCGTATGGGTAGTACTTGAGTTCACTGGGTCGTAGTCGTCTCGATAGAAAAGCTACTGGTTGAAGACCCTTGCCGTGGTCCTGCATAAGTGTACCTCCTACGGCTGTATCCATCGCATCAGTCACTACTACATATGGCTTCTCTGGATCAGGTAGGATCAACACAGGAGAACTGTTCAATGCAGACTTCAAAGATTCAAAAGCTTCTTGCTGTCTTGGACCAAATTGCCACTGAGCATCCTTGACAGTCAACTCATACAGAGGTGTTGCAAGATGAGCATAACGGTGAACATACCTCCTGTAGAAACTGGTCATCCCCAAAAAGCTGCGTACATCAGTCACATTCTCCAGGGGTTTCCAATTGAGAATTGCCTTGGTCTTCACCGGTAATGGGTATATCCCATTGGCACTAATCTAATATCCCACGAAGTCTGTACCGGTCACTGCAATCTCTGTCTTGGACGCCTTTGCAAACAACTTGTGCTCCTAGAGTCTTGCCAGCACTATACTGAGATGTATGGCATGATCCTCAATATTCTTGGAGTATATGATCAGGTCGTCCAAGAATACAATTACAACAGTTCCAAGCTATGGTAAATGATCTGTTTGCGGACATGCTCGATGATTTGGAGTTGCATTTGTCACTCTAAATGAACAAACAAGAAACTCGTAATGTTCATATCGATATTTGAAAGCGGTTTTGCTTGTGTCCTCTGGCCGGATAGGCATTTGCCAATAACCACTTCTCAAGTCGATTTTCGAAAAGATTTTTGCACCATGCAATCTGTCCATTAGTTCATCAGGCAATGGCAATGGATACTTATTCTTCTTTGTCAATTTATTCAACCACCTGTAGTTCAGACACATGCAAAGTCCCCCATCCTTCTTTGGTGCAAATAAAATTGGTACACCCTAAGGACTCTCAGACGGCTTTGCAAAGCCCATGCTCAACAAATAGTCCAACTGACGCTTTACTTCCTCAAGCTCGAGTGGACTCAACTTATACAAAGGTTTACTCACAGGATCAGCTCCTTCCTCAAGGTCAATATGAAATTCATGACCTTTGCGTACCGGAGGTACTCCTGCTGGTAGATCTTTGGCAAAAACATCTCGGTATTCATCGAGAACTTTATTAGTTCCTCTGTCAACTCCTGCCTCTTGAGTTTGTCCACATCTGAGCCTTCATGTTCTTCAGGAATAGTCTCTATTGCTGCCTTGGTATCATCCTCAGGTCGGATAATCACTATCACACATGGAGATTGCTCCTCAACAGTTTCTTCAATTCTGTCTGAGACTTGCTACCACACAGTCTTAGGCGTAGGGATACTCAAATTCACACGAGTTGGCAGATAATGAAATGTATCTCCCCTCTGTAATTCTACCGTTCCATCTCTAAACCGGATGCACGGGTCTTCCTTTACTAACCATGGTTGACCTAAGAGAACATCATGGCTTAAACCAGGAAAAACATCAGCTGAATATCTGGCCATGACAGAACCACAACGCATTCGTAGATTTGCAATTCTTCCCAACGTGTAACTTGTTGTCTTGTCTGCCATTCCCAGCCGCACAGGTTCTCCAGTCAATGCAAGTCCAAGTTGATGTGCCAACTTCTCAGAAATATAGTTCCCAGTTGAGCCACTGTCCAAGTACGCAAAAACCGAATGTTTACCCAAAGTAGCCGCAAGCTCAAGCCCAGTATATTCTGGACCAGCCAAGGGACACACCAGTGGTTCTTCCAGTTTTTTCATCCATGCCTGTGAATCACCATCACACCAAACATCACGTGTGGGAATAGAATCTGTCTGCACACCCACTTCCGCCGTGTCCACTATGATGTCCACTGGGTCCAACTCAACATCATGATTCTCAACACGAGTTCTGACTGTGACCCCTT